GTCGTATTATACATGAGATCATATTATACACGAATAAATACGGCAACTACAAAATAATCTGACTCTTAGCATGGTTGTATTCACACTGCTGCTTGCTTTAAGCGAGGAATGTCTTTATGCTGATAATGTTTGTGATTGTTTGCGAGGTGCTCGTGGGTCTCGAAAACAAAAATTAAAAATCACAGAAGGTTCGAATTCGAAAGGAGATTTGTTTGACTTAAGAAACCTGCGGCTGAGTGATCCCTGAAGCTGTAAGTCAGCACCAGCTGGCCCATCTTTTCAGGAGTCTGCGAGTAACATGTCTGCCACCAGCCTCGCTCAGAAGGTTGTTGTTTTTTATAACCTCACTCAGAGGCTAAGAGGTGCTGTTTGTCTTCTAAATTAGCTGAAGCAGTCAGAACGTCATCTAACCGAGTTTTAAAATCCTATATCCATCCAAATAATCTTTTTGTTCTTGTTTTGAAACTGATTTACTAAACAATAATTGAATATGTAAGATTAATAATCTTGTTATCAGAACTTGTAAGATTATTTATGTTGTTAGCCTGGAAATTTGACTCAAAGTAAGTGAAAAAAAAATCTGCCAATGGAGTAAGAAAACTTACTTGGTAAGATTCTTGAAATACTTGATTTGACTCCAATTTGTCTTATTTCAAGAGTCTTACCAAGTAAAATTTTCTTACTCACTTGGCAGAAAATGTTCACTTAACAGTCAATGAGAAAAATGCCTAGACCTAACCCCATACAACAGATATTGAAACACAAAGGGCGCACAGTGTTACCCTTTGCCTTGCTCGTAGCTGCACATGCCAAACTTCTTGGTGCCAGTCTCCATGCAGCGACGCATCATTAGCCGATATCGAGGCTCAAAGATGTGCAGTGGGCACGGCACACCGGGGAAGGCCACAGTGCAGACAAATATAGGAATATCCTTGGTGAGACTACGAGAGGAAACAAAAGAAAAAACAAAAAACAGTTTAGAAAATGGAGCGAGGTTAAAATCATCTTTGAAACTAAAGGATGGATTGAATTAGGTGTTGCGTACTTGGACAGCTCCGCCATTTCCGCATCATGTATCTGTTTTCTCTCAGCCAGCTGGGAGGGAAAAAGTTGGGTCATGATGTCCTGAATCAGAATGGTGGGGTTGTACTTCCGGTTTCGTAAGTACTGAAAGCAGAGGAGGAAAGACAGCACCATAAGTAAGCAGAAAATGCAGTAAAATCTTTCAAATATGTACTTCAAGTAAAATGTCTTGAAAATTGCCCATGATCACACCATGTTTTAAAAGGTTTTACCTTCTTATATAACCCAATCTTTTTTTTTTTTGCAGATTTTATTTGTTTGTTTTAGTTTTGATCATTAATCCTTGTTGTACTTATTGTCACTGTAATCACAGATTAGTTTTTTGTAAGTACATCTACTGTTGTACAAGTTTTCAGCATCCGCTTGCACAGTAAGTTATTAATACTAAACATCCATTCCAGCCGTCTTTTAAGCATTTATTTAAAAGGCTTTATTACCTTCACGTGGGCTAGAGAATAGGAAAATGACAAGTTATTAGAGCTGAAAAGCTGTCAGATGTAATGACAGTTATTTCTTTAATTGTCTGAAAAGTGCCAGTATTTTTTTGGGTACATAATACAGACCTGAAAAAATGAATAACGGTTGTCTTGTTACATTTACACAGTTTAAAGGTTTAACCATCAGTTATTTGTGGAAAAATGTTACCAACTGAAAGGTTCTTTGATTGGCGGCTCCTCATGACACTGAGTTTTTCAGTACTGCCATGTACTGTATGCAGTTGCGTACATTTTTAGGTGAGTATTATTAGAGTTGTTGTATTTTGTTTTGAAAAAACATGTTCAAGCAGGTAAAATTTTTAAATATCTGAGCTGATGATTTAAGAACAGGAAACAATAAAATGTTATCTTCTGGTGTGTTTTCTTCATTTAGTTGTTATAACAGCAAAAACAGATGTGAGCCAAAAGCTGTTTGATATCTCCTAGGCTGACCACGTGCCACAAATAATTTATTGACTGCAGACTGTGTGACATGCATGTGTAATAATAAAWCTCAATCAATAGGTGCTGCCGAAGACACAAGCAGAGTGGAGATATGTATCAGAAAGGGCTTACAAGGACACTCAAATTGATTTCCTTGAAGAAATTTTGTAACTGATTAATTGAATATTAGATTCAGTTTTGTATTTTATACTTTCTGATCATTTCAGTCTGTGAGGTTAAAGCTGACAAAGAGTTGGTGTGTTTTCATGTGTTCTTTCTCTCAGCCTAAACAAAACTGAGTGACGTTCTGACGTAAAAGGTAACACCTCTGGGGTGTAACCAGGAAGGSATGAACATTATAAGATCAATTCATTATTATAGTAGAAAGAAGTTGTCAGTGTTTTTGCAGAGTGTCCGCTCAGAGCAGAGCCCCCGTGTTTGTTTTGATTTGGCCCAAGATTGTACGCTGAGGCCTGAGTGCTGAGTGCTGCTCTGTGAACCTGATTGGAGTCAGAAGATTGAAAATAAAGTTTTGAAGAAGAAACCCAGCTGAATCCTGTTTATTCAGACATACCCTTTTGAACAACGCATATTTTTCCAACATCCTGTTGAGAAATAACTCTGGATTTTTTAATTACATTTCAGAGGTGACAAGTTAGTCAGCATGTCGTCGTCACCTATTAGTGTGAAGCTGCAGACCAATGAGTCAAACTACGGGAATGCAGCTGAATCATAGATGTGATTATCTTGTTTCAACCACAGTATACGTTTGTCGTCACCTCTTGCAGTGGCTGTTTGCAGAGTGGACAGCGGACGTTGTGGTCAAGGCTCCTCTCGACACAGTTTTTGCAAAAAGTGTGACCACACGGAGTTGTGACTGGCTCAAAAAACAACCTGCAGGAAATGGAGAAAAACGTGAAGAAATGATGAGTTTAGAGAAGTACACATGTTTGTATGTATGTATCGATGGAAAAAAAATCTGATTGGTCACATTCAAGCTRTTATGATAAAAATCCCATAAGGGTTGCACAGGGGTGAAAAAAAATTGGATTTGGGTCACGATCACATGCAGTGAAGCCTTAGCATGCTAAACATTAATCAGAGACAGTAGCGCACAAACAGAATCAGCAAGAATTAGGACACCAGAGGAGACAAGCTCCACACAGCACTGCATTATGGATCACAGYGAGCTGCCGAGGACACTGACCGAATGCAGAGAGGGCACTCAAAGTCTGACATGGTGAGCACACTCAGTGTTTTCTCTCTGCGTGCTTCACTTTCACCTGTAATTGAAAGAAAGTTGAGAACATTCAGTTTAGGAATTATGAACAATTTTGTGCTTTAAGGCATAGTACAGTTTTAGTGAAAAGGGAATTTGTGGAAAAGTTATGAACATTTATTGTGTTACTAATATTGTAGACAGATTTTTGAAAAGCCATTTATATCAATAATTACAAACAAATTGGAACGTTGTAATTTTTGATACGCACAAATAAAACTGTGTTTAGAAAAAAAATTGAAAGTCTTTTTAGGTACTATTAAAGAGAATGACCGTCTGGCCTGCTATCAACACACAGTTCAAAATCTGCCTCTCTGATGGTATGGGGATGCATTAGTGGCTATGCCTAAGCAGCTTTTCTGTAAAGGCACTGTTATGGAAATATTTATTTAACAAAGACAGAAACACATGGTTCAAGAATGAAGGTAGTCCGTGGAATGATCAGCTGAGCTTTATTACAACAACAGGAACACAGAGAACAACATCAGCCTGTCTCCCTGCTCTCTGCTCTGTCTCTGTGCTTCTGCTTCAGTGACACAGTCTCTCCTGAGACAGATGAGAGGCCTCATATATATATTGTTTAAAGGGGACCAATTATTCAAAATTCACTTTTTAAATGGTTTTTTTTACTCAACTTTGGGAATGTACTTCTTAAAAAAACAGTCCTAGGACCAAAAAAAATGCACCCAGGGGCATATTTACTGTAAGTAAATGTATTTTTAATATGTATTAACGACAAGTTTTATACTTCCGTCATTTTGTGATGTCACAAGCCGTACGACAACCCACCGGAGCCTGCGTTCAGCCCCTTACCTAGCAACCCCCGGGTGAGACTCCTCCTCCTCAGAATAAAAAGCCGTCAAAGTGTTGTTGTGCAATGTGCAGCTCATTTCACAACAAGTCTCCAATAGGGCAATGGGTAGAGTGTTGGACTAGAGTGGGAGACCAGGGTTCGTGACC